TGTAAATAAATTAAACTATACCCCTATAATATAATTAGCTATAAATGTTTGTCATCCCATGTAATTTTCCCTTAAAAGAAACATATAGAAATGGAGTAAATCAAGTCAACATGTTCTTCGATCTCATATTGTGCTTCATACTCTTATCTTTTATTTAATATTTACTAACTCTATTTATAAGATTATGTTAACAATTCATATAATAATTATCTCACTAAAAGGATGCTTTTTAATATTGGATTGATAAAATATAATAATTATCTCACTAAAAGGATGTTTTTCAATATTGGATTGATAAAATCTTACCTAAAATCAATAACAGAAAAAATAATATTAAGTACTAATAATTTTCATGTAAGTAGTGTAGTGTAAGGAAAATAAATATATTAATATATATCTAACATTTATTCTTATATTTATATTTTAAGCCTTAAATTAAAATTTCACTTTAAATCTCCAATTTCATTAATCCGCTTTAGTATAACTTTTTACCAGGAAGATTTGGGTGAACTCTTCCGCCCTTTGATTAGACAAGTCCGTAATTGGAGACCTTTTCTCGTACATGACAACAAAATAAATATATTTATAATATACGGTCCATAATTGGATAAATAAGTGATTTATTATACTATTTTTTATATATTAAAATATAAGGCACATATATAAATGCTAATAATTATATGAAAATTGAAGTACCACATTACATCAGGTACAGTAGGTATTTATTTGTCATGTGCAGCTGAAATTGCATTTGCTTCATCATAAATGACTCTTCAATCTGAGCATTGCCTAGCTATAATCAAATTGATTTTATGCAACTTATAATATAAAATATAGGGACAAGATATACAAATTGCATCTAAATTATGATGAAATTAATAATGACACTAATATTCAAAACTATACTGCTGATCACTAATTACTTCATAAAGAAAATAAGCGTGTATTTGCATATGCTTAAAAATTAGTTTTGAAAAAGCGTGTATTTGCATAGGTTGCGTATTAACTTATTTTATTAATTAGATAATTAATAAATGGATATAATAAATAATATGAAAATATTAAGTTTAGGGTGGCATATAATTCTCACATAATTAGGAGTATAGTAGACAATTGCAGCATATATGTTTCTCGTTCTATGCATTTTAAGCTTATACTTTCTTTCGTGATATTACTTTTAATGTCTCAAATTATCTATCGTAATTCTTAAAAATAATTATTCAAATTGATCATCATTGTAAAAGTTCAAAATAATTTCTTCCTTTTTTTTTCATTTTATCTTTTGTACATTGTTCTTGAAATTACAAACGACTTAATAAAGGGTGGTTATATCTTAAAATATTAATAAGGAAAAAAAGTTTGAAATATGTCTAAACTTTGATCGAAATTATTATAATGATATCAAACTTTGTAAATGACATTTTATCGCCTTCACTATCTAATATTATATTTTAAATGTATATATATGTTCATGTAAACATAAATATTGCATCATTATAAATAATATTGAAACGTAAAAGTGGTTGGTACTCACTATTCAACTCACGAGAAATTTCTCCAAAACATTATATATGATATTGTACGATTGTTACTTCCTTTTTGTTGTTTTTATTGTCTCATTTTGTTGTGATTTTTCCTTCAAACTTGACCCTATATAAAATTGTACAATATTTTGTCAAAAAGTTCTGCTTAAATTATATACCAGTAATTATATTCATATATGATTTTTAAAATAGTCAAAATTAATTACTTGTCCTAAACACAAAAGACAAGAATAATTCATCTTTTTAATTAATGAAAGCAGCTGATTAGAGTGTCAACAATATATGCATTATATACTATTAGAGTTAGTAACTAGTCCCTCTCCATCTCAACATAATTAGGGCCTAATTATTAGGGATAAGATTTTGACTTAAATACCCTAATTAAACGCATATATTCTATTTCCTTATTTTTGCATATATAGAATAATGGTGTTGTTTCTAATTGTCTGACGTTTTATAATAGTAACAAATTATAAATTTCAAAAAATTGTAATGCCTTGAAAACAATGTTGGAGTCTGAATGAATTGATAGTTTTGAATCTATCTTTAATTGGCTATGTTTTGAAATTTCCTATTTTTTATTTTTTTTTGGGTGTGATGACGTTTTCCTTTTAAGAAAAATAAATACAAAAAAGGCTTGGAAAATTGAAATTTGAAGTTTGAGATCCAAGTGGGCCTGAGAGATCCCAATCAGTACTTGGACTGGCCCATCTATTTCAAAGCACGCACCTCTATTTTCCACTATGAAATGTCGGTTCTTATCGGTTTATTATTTTGCAGGAAAATTACTTATTTGTAGCTATATAGGAAAATTAGATCTTGGTGCGGGGTGAGTTTCTTAAAAAACATCTTAAGGTACCCATAAAACGTACTTTTCTAATGAAAAAATTGTCGTCAATGTCTGAAACTCGCCCAATTTTTATACAAATCATGTGTGTGACCTTTCTTTATTAACATTATTGATCCTCATTCGACCCCATCCGAATATAATTCAGTCTAATCTGCCCATTTAACACCTCTAACGTTGCCCTTTTTGTGTTCATTGGTAAATGGGTCTCTAAATAATAAGTGGCCCACTAGTGTAGAACATGCTACAGAAGAGATACGAGCCCAATGCCCACTAAAGGCCCAACTTGAACATTAGCAGATCAGGAGATTTAGCCCAGTGTGTAAACCGATCAGCTTCGTTAGCCCAAGTCGATGAAAAAATTATTTAAATATACAACTTCTTTTACCATATTTTCATACCATTTGAAAATATTACAAAAACCTCTACTCTCTTCTATTCTCGAATACATCACTTTACACAATGTATCGGGACGTTGAGTGATGTATTTGAAACTGAGATGCGATGTATTGAGACATTAAGGGATGCATCTGCAATCGGGACACGATGTATTGAGATAGTTTGAGATGTAATCAAATTCACCAAATTTAAAATTTTTTTGTAATTTAAAAACGAGTAAATAGATTGACATTAGATCTTATCACTATGAGATGAGATTTTGTGTAAAGTTTTTTACTTTTGATTAGTTGGATCATTATTGACTGACATGGTTGTATATCATATGCCGAAGTTAAATTTTAGTTGCAATGTGAAATTATAGCACTAAAATCATGTACGTGTGACATTTTAAATTTTAATACATTGTGCATAAATTTGAAAAGAAGTGTGTATACCTTACCATTTATTTTTATGGTTTTTTTTTTTTGCTTTAAAACCACTGATAAACAATTTTTTTTTTCGTGTATTAGAGTTAGATTTTATTGAATTAGAAGTACTAGTACCCATTCTAATTCCTGATCAAATTTATATTCTTCATTTTTCTTCTTTATAGAAGAATTTGATTCACAAGTATTAGTGCTTCTGGGATTTTCCACGATTATGGGCCCGTTTGGATGGGTTAAATAAAAGCAGCTTTAAAAAAGTACTTTTGAAAGTGCTGAAACTTATTTTTAAAATAAGCAGTTATGTGTTTGGATAAAAGTGCTGAAGTTGTTATGCCAAACGTGAAAAGGGAAAAATAGAAGAAAGAAATGTTAGGGTTATATGAGTAATTTGGAGATTGTATAAAAATATTAAGGGAAAAAACATAAAAATGTGGTCAACTTAAAACAGCTTATAAGCTAAAAAAAAAAGCACCCCTATCCCAGCTTTTAACTTTTGGCTTAAAATAAGTTTTTTTTAACTTAAAATAAGCTATTTTCAGTATTGCCAAACAGTTAAATAAGTCAAAAACCAGCTTTTAAGCTGAGCCAAACAGGCTCTATGTATAATACTTCCTCCATCCGGAATTGTTTGTTATGTTGTGTTTTTAGAAAGCCTGGCTAATTTTCAAAGTTAAATTAGATCAAATTAATTTGATATTTAAAACAAAAAAATTAGATATTCCAAAACTACATGAAAATTGAAATTTTTTGCATATTAATATGATGAAAAAATACATCTTATAATGTTAGTCAAAGTTATTTTTACAATTTAACTCTAAAAATAGAAATCATGACAAATAATGTCGGACGGATGGAATACCAAAAATAACAATCAATTTTTTTAAAGTTTTATTATGTAAATAATAATGCCGTCCACAAATTTGTAAACGAACATTTAGTATTAGGACAAAATGAGAATTTCCTTGGTAGAAAAAGCTTCAAAATTACTATAATTTTTGATTTCTTCTGTGTTGTCATACTTGTTCATGGACCATTTAACTTTGTTCACGTTATTCTTTAAGTTTGATGGGCTTCTACTTGAATTTGTAACATTTCAAAATGTTCAAAAAAATTTAGAAACGAGATAATTTTTAACTACGCTTGATTTATAAGTAAAATTTCAATATAAAATTTCATCTCGTAATTTTAAATTATGAAATGAAATCAGCATTTGAATATGATATTCAAACGCCAATACATGCATTCTAAAAACTTTAACACACAAGGTTCTAATTTGAAAATCTTTTACACATTAAAAAAAGACACTTTCTTGTTGATATAGCTTAGATCAAGGTGACCCACAAATATTCAAATTTCAAAATTTCGAAACGTTATAAAAAGATAAAAATGGAAAGGGTACAGGTTGTATATTAACCATACATAAATCAAAGCGACAATAACGCGCATATATCGTAACCCCTTATATTTACTTTCTTTTGAGTAAAATTGAAAACCAAGTCCAATTTCAAAGACCCTTTTCTCTTCTCCCCTTTTTCCTATCTCTCTGTAAAAAAGCAAACACAGTTCCACTTTCAAGTCCAAATCTTGATTGCTTAATCACCAATCTTTTTTCTCTCGTAATAAATATAGATCTGGGGTTTTAGGATTTTATTGTTTTTAGTTTGAGATTGATACTATGGAGAGTTTAATTGGTTTGGTGAATCGGATTCAGAGAGCTTGTACTGCTCTTGGTGATTATGGTGGTGGAGATAATGCGTTTTCTTCTTTATGGGATGCTCTTCCTTCAGTTGCTGTTGTCGGCGGTCAGGTTGGTGATCCATTATCTTTATTCGGTTTCTTGGTTAC